AGATGCTCAATACACATGAATTCCAAAAGCTAAAAGCTGGACCACAGAAGTAGAAAAATAATTGACCCTGGAGCACAAAATGCTGGTGGACAAGAGGAGCTGGATGAATGAGTGATAATGCCATTCTCTGCAATACACACACAGAGCGTAGTGCCTTAGAGGAACTGACTTCAATTTAAGTGAAATCCCTACAGCAAATAGCACTAGAAATGAACCCCAGAGTCCCAGCAGATGGTTGATCCCCGGCAATGTCTGACACAACAAAAGCCCATGACAACAAGGGCAGTTGGGCACTGCCTTGGTGTTTGTTGTTAGAGCCAGAGCCTTTAGGATCCAGGGAAGTGCTTTTGTAATAGTGATGATTTCTGTGGCAAAGGAGACTGAGCCCAGGGTCATCCCAACTAAGACAAATCTCTGATGTGACACCATTAACCAACCAAGCCTCCGGAAGAGCGAAGGCACCATCTCTTTCTCCCGTTCTCTGCTTGCAATGCTATAAAATCCAAACAAACATGTACGCTCCGGAAAGGTTAGCCAGCTCGTGCCATGGAAAATGGCCATCATGTGTTTCCTTTCAACTCACCCCTGATTCCCTCCCCAAGGGTGGAAATAAAACATTTTGAATGTCTGAGAACATTCAAAATAAGCCATCATTTCCAAGTAACGGCTGCTCGTGCTATGCACATAAATAAAAATCCATCCTAAAGTTAAACACATTTATGAGGTCTTTGTAAAGACTTTGCCTTTTCTCTATAAATGTCCGAAAAGATTAATTAAGAACAGGATGACTCATCCATCTAGATTGATTAAACGTATATTTAAGGGTCAGACTAGAAACAATGCCTAGATACATTAACATACAAATTGCCCACAGTGATTAGTCTATTTATTTTACTTGCTGACAATATTTCTGGAATTAAGTCATTGTTAATCTACGTCTGGAAGGAGAGACAGGACCACCCTATTCCCTATCTAAGAAGCCTTTTTCTCTCACCTCTCAGTACTATCATGCTCCCCCCAAATTTCAGGCTCCTTTAACACCTGGGTACCACAGTCTACAGGGAGAGATAACGGAAGCTGCATCCCAAGCACAGCCCACGGCTTCCCCACTAGCCCTCTGAACAGTGTCTCTGCCCTCTCGGAAATTCTTCTTTTTTACACTTTCCTTTTGCATCAGAGTACATTTTCCAAGATCCTTTGGGAAAGGATGTACTCTGTCCAAAAACAGAGCATTCAATATGCTGTCTAGGCCTGAAGAGTGGTCGCTAACGTTGAGTGCTAACCAATTGCAATCTACGGTATTACAGGTGCTGTGTTCTTCATTTCAATGAACATTAGAAAAAGTCCTCAGGGAGTTGAGGATGTGAGTATCCATATCCCACTCTCATAGGCCAATGAAATGGGTCCAGAGAAGCTAGAACAGGTGCCGATGCTCACCTCACTGGCAGTGATGAAGCCCGAGGCACAGCCTGGTGGGAGCGGCAAGCCTGTGCACTGGCTCGGCTCCTGGGCCTGTGGTCTCACAGGAGTTGTGAGATCTGTCCCTTCTGCTTCTCAGAAGCAGGACTGTTGGGCCCCCGTGTGAGCAGCTGAAGATTGAGAATACACGGTTGTCCTCAGCTCTGTCACCATCTATGTCCCTGGTAGCAAGTCACACTCACCGTGTGCCCACGCCTGTTTATTGATATTAGAACACAAATTCTTTGGGTACTTTTCCTCTGACTGTTCTTTGGTTATGGTGGCCAATTCCCTGGTACTTATCTGAGCCATGTTTATTAATATAACTGCTGGGAGGTTTGTAAAAGAGCCGACCGTACTTCCAGACTGAACACACAGTTCTAGAAAGGTCTACCAACACAGCTCTAAAGAAAACAAGGCACTTTGAGTAGAAAGTAAAAGGAACCAGGATCCAATATTCCTGGTCAAAGTGGACAAGGTTGGGTTGGGTGCAATGGCCACACCACCCCTGCTGTTGGCAGCTTACCAACCCTCTCTGAGGCCTTTTGTCTGCAAAAGGAGGTGCTTGAGAATATTAAGTGAGATACTAAAGGCAAAGCACAATGACTGTAGAAGAATAAATGCTTAGTCAATGAGAACTATTATTATTATTATTATTGATCCCTGCCTCAGGTTCTATATAAGATAAACAATAATGATGGTCATTCCTCACCATTTATTTATTATACCATACCAGGCACTGTTCCAAGCACCTTCTATACCTTAACTCATTTAACACTCACAGCAATTCAATGAGAAAGGGCTGTTGTACTCCTATTGTACAGATGGGTATGTTGAGGTCCAGAGAGGTATACTTACTTGCCCAAGGTCACACTTCCAGTCATTCTCCACTGAAAGCAGGCACCTGAACTCCAGAGCACATGTCTCTTGACCAAATGCTATGTGGGACATAGTTCACGGCCACAAACCCAGGGGATGTCTGACATGAACTACTGAAACAGGAGAGGAGGAGAGGCGGGTTCATTTAGCCTCCAGGGCCCTGCTTGTCTCCCTCCCCACTCTTCCTCCTGCCCTACACCACTCTGGTTTTTTTTTTTTACTCAACTGAGGACATGCTTATTGATTTTAGACAGAGGAGGAAGAAGAGAGAAAAAGGGAGAGAGGGAAACATCAATGTGAGAGAGAAACATTCATGCCAGACTGGGATGGAACCCACAACCTTTAGGTGTACGGGATGAATCTCCAACCAACTGTGTCACACCAGTCAGGACCCAGTCTTTGATTTTTTTTTAAGCCATGTAGCTAAGGAGAAAATAGAGGAGAGGTTTGTTCCACCAGTGCTCTTTCTCAGAGCCTCTCAACAAGTTTTAAAATAAAATGATGATGTCATGATTGTTAAGACAACAAGAAAAATAATAGATAAGCACTAAAATGGTTACAGTAAACTGTGATCAGGCCCTGCATTTCTCCATTTGAGCGCAACACCCAGGTTCACTCTCCCCAGAAGAGAATAAGCTAGCCTCTGTCCCTCCCCTCTCCCTTCCCACCTCTAACCACCCACCTCCTACAGGCTGCCAGTTCCACCCAACTGACTTCTGCTCATCCATCAGATTTCAGCTTAGGCTGCACTTCCTCCACAGGCCTGCCCGGACCACCATGTCCGGCCCCTCCGCCAGAACTCGGTGGCCTTTCCTGGGCTGCACAGCATCCATCGTAGTTTTGTAATGCAATGCCTGTGGGCTCCCTGAGGACAGGAGCTAGTCCAGCAGGCATTCTTCCACATCCTGAGTCTCGCATTGTGCCTGACATGTAATTAGACGTCTCAGTAGACATGGTGCCAGGAGAACTACAAAGCATGCCACTTCTTTTAAGGTTTGAAATTGTATAATGAAATTTTGAAGACCAAGTGTTTCATGACCTGAAAGGAATATAAACAATTGCAGAAAAATAATACCCAGTCTATTTTCTCAGGCCACTCAGTAATTTGGAAACTGGGAGAAGGCTTAACAGTGCTTACTACTGGAACAGTCTTTCCTAAAGGGACCTCCAGTCCCTCCTCCAGTCATTTAAACTCACTCCATTTCCTCTGGTCCCCTCGAAGGGAATGCTCAGGAACTGAATTATAATTATGACATTTCCCTTTAGCTTTCCCTTCTTGGAACTTAATAACTTCAGCTTCTTAAACTTTTCCCTATAAAAATCTATTAATTCTTTTCATTGCTTTCTCACTTTTTCATATTACTCATATCTTAGCACTTACTGTTAAATGTCACAAAGAAAAAAATAATTTGAGGCTCACATTCTTACCTTTGTTCTCTGAGGGCTTAAAGACAAAAAAGAAAAGAAAAACTCAACGATTTTATCTATAAATTGAAGAGCAAAATATGGGTTTAGTAATAAACATTTGGTCTCAATTAGTCTACTTTATTTATTTATTTAATTTTGCTCTTTGAGGCTCATATTTTGAAACATGCTCTACTTCCTAGAAGAGCATGTTCTAGAAAAAGAAAGATGACGTGAAGCCCCTGGTTTGATGTCTTTACATTAACTCATTAGAAATCATCCCACATTTTCCAGAATGGTCCCATTTTAAATATTTGGACCCATTCTTCCATAAGTAGAACTCATAAGTGTCATATCTTTTTCCTAATTTGGGGCTCAAAAATATGTCAACATACATGTAACATATAATCTCTAGGTAATGATGTTAAAATCAGTAGAAAACATTAATTGCAGCCTCCCTCTGTAGCTGGGGCTATGCTAGTCATTCACAAATACTTTCTCTTCTAATCATTAAAACATCTCTATGAGGTAGATGCTACTTTTATTGCCATTTTACAGATGAGGAAACGGATGCCCAGAAAAACTAAGAATCACCAGCCTGTAGGTGGCAGACCAGGGAACCCAATAGGCCTGTCTGACAGTGTACTCTAAGCTCTAGTCACATTGCTTAAAGTTCTGGAAGTATTGATTTTTGGTTTTTGTTTCTCTATTTGCTTTTTCATAAGTGACCTGATCCAGTTTTGTGCATGCGGTAGCTTCATAATAATTCTTTGATATTTGACCTTTCATACTCTGTTGGCAATACTATAAATTGGTTTAACCACTTCGGAAATCACTTTGACAACACCTAGGAGTATTGAAGATGTGCAGGTCCTAGGGCCTGGCCATGATTCCCTGGGCAGTATGGCAGGTTCAACTGGTCAACTGAGCCAACCCCCTTCCACAGCCCCACACCATCCAGAAATTTTCTTCTAATTGGCTGAGGTTGATCCACATGATCCTGTTCTGGCCAATTGGGTGTAAGTGAAAATCACTAAGTGGGGCTCCTAGGAAACTGGTTTACAGAGACAGTATGACCAGATGGCTTTCTTGGACTGTTGTTCCTTTCCCTTCTTCCTGACCGTAACATGACACAATGCCTGGAGTTGCTGTAACTATTTTGTGACCATGAAACAACAAACCTGAGGACAAAAGTGTATCCTCTAAGGACAGCAGAGCAGAGAGAGGGACCAAACCTGGATCCCCTTGGCATCGCTTACCTGCCATGCAGTCTGGGAATGCCTCCCTCCAGGCTCTTGTGATATTAGGAAGAGGAACTTCTGACACCACTAACTCACTGTTGTTGGATTTCTTTTCCCAGCTCTCCAGAGAAACTGTCACACCTGTGCACAAAGTGACAGGAAGAGAAGTTTTTAATATGAAAAATTACAAAAAGTTAGTGCCCATCAAAAGAGAAATGGATAAATTGTGGCATCTTCATGCAATGAAACACTACATCACAATTAAAAAGTAGTGATAATTCTTGAAACCAAAGTGTGAAGTGAAAAGGAAATATTGCCAAATGACCTGTGTCCAAAATGATATCTCTTAAATATATTTTCAAAATGCATTACAATTCTACATATTCTATGGATATGTGCATATATACTAAAATTATAAAAACATAAATGTGAAGGAAACACACCAACTTCAAGGAAGGAGGAAGGGATGGAACTCAGAAGTGGCATAGGAGGCATTAAGTTGAACCTGTAGTGTTTTGGTTCATAAAATTAATCTGAATCAAATACGGCAAAAATTCTTAACCTTTGTTAAATTGGAGTTATAGATCCCTGGGTATTTGCCAAATAACTCTGTATTTTTCTGTAATTTTAAATTTTTTTATACTTTTTAAAAAGGCAAAGAGATTTTCAAAAAACAGTTGGATATTTACATGACAGTGCGCTGCCAAATGTAAGGTGACGTGTAAAACGGCGTGCTTCATTATTTCCATTCCCCTGGACTGGGAAGGCTGTGTCGAGGAGTGAACTTCCCATAGCCCTGAAGAAAGGGTAGGATGAAAAGATTGAGCTAGGCAGTGGAGAGGAAGCAGTGTTATGAACTGAATTGTGTCTCCCCAAAATTCATATGTTAAAACCCTAACTGCCAATGTGACTACATTTGGAGGTAGGACCTTTAAGGAAATAATTAAGGTTACATGAGGTCATAGAGTGGGGCCCTAATCCAATAAGTCTGATGTCCTTATAAGAAGAGGAAGAGACAACAGGAGCACACTTACACAGAGGAAAGGCCATGTGAGACATAGCAAGAAGGTGGCTGCCTGCAAGCCAAGGAGAGAGGCCTCAGGAGAAATTACCTCTTGGACTTCCAGCCTCCAGACCAGAGAGGAAATAAATTTTTGCTGTTTCAGCCATACAGGCTATGGTATTCTGTATGGCAGCCTGAGCAGACTACTAGAACTGTGGTTATCAATAGTGACTGGTACTGCACTTATTGAAGAAATTGACGGGGATGAGGTAGAGTGAAGGGGAGGAGGTAATTTCTGGTGGTCACAAAACCTGAGGAGCACAGGAGCCATTAGTAGACAGTGGCCACGGAGGCCAAATCTTCTTCAGTGTCTAGTTCAGTCCTCGCCACAAAAAAAGAATTCTATCTTTTAAATATTCCACAGGACATTCATGTAGAGGAGAAATGTGTGCATAATTAATTATCTAAGGTTATGAAAAATGCAAAACTTTGGGGGAGCCAGGCAATATTATACACTGAATTTCCTACAAAAGTAACTACTATGTAGATTATGGCAAGATTATGCTTTTTTTTCTTCAGAACTTTGCCGAATGGTACTCATCACAATTTTGAAAAAATCTGATCACTGACAGTAATGCTCCTGAAGATTTTGAACTGTCCACACACCATATTCTCATCAGTGTTCATTCGTAGCTGTTGTATATGCCGAGTCAGCAAACCATGGTGAGCTGGCTATCCAGTCTGCTGCCTGCTTTTGTACATAAAGTTTTATTGGAACACAGCCATGCTTTTTATTTACATATTGTCTATGGCTGTTTTCTCAGTACAATAGCAGAGCTGAGAATGGCTCACAAAACCTAAAATATTTATTAGCTGACTCTTCACAGAAATACTGGAAAACCCCTGGTATAAACCTGATTCTGTGTCTACTGTTAACATCAACTACTTAATCTTGTTTAATCCTAGAATATTTACTTATGAAAATATGCATGATTTTATTATGTTAATTCCCCTTTATTAATTATAGTTAATGTATTATGTTGATTCTTTTGAAATTGTGTAGATACCTATGTATCTGTGAATCTCATTTCAGGAAAAAAATAAAATTCTTTTCAGAAAGAAGGGGAGAGTATTTTTAAACATCCTCAGAGTTAAGAACAACTATTCTAGACCTAAAAGAACAAAAACCATAAAGAACAAAAAGAGTTATGTGACCAAGAAGAAAATTGAAAACAGGAGCCATGCTGAAGATGAACTGACCTTAAGCTCCATTAGAGAAGCTACTGGGCTTATTCGTACATCACTTAACTCGTGACCTGGTACACAGGAGGCATTCAATAAACACTTGGCTGAATGATTTGATGAATGGAGGGATGGATGAGACATACAAATAACTGAAGGAAAAGGAACTGGAGTAGTGAGCTTCCTGTCTCAAGGGATCATCCAACAGAAGCTCAAAGGTCATTTGCTGGACAGCTTATAGAAGCGATTCCTTCATATAAGGGGTAAGTGGGTGGACTATTTCTAAGGCCGAGAACTAACACACCAAAGACACAAAGCTCATACTCTGGAGCAGAAAAGACCTTGTTCTAATTTTGGACTGAATCCTATATAATAAGGAGCTAATATGCTAAAGGCCATGATGCCCTCATGCCATAACAAGTGATCAGCAGGAGGCTGCGTGTGCAGCAGGCACGTGCAGGTGGGCAGGGCCTTGATTCTAGAGGACTTGTCTGGAGGCATGGGAGGGTTTCTGGGTCCTGCCTCCAGTGGTGGTGGTGGTGGTGGTGGCTGCGGGACTCTTTCTGAGCGGGAGGCGGAGCTGCGTGTGGAGGAAGCACGCATAGGGAGGGATTCCGGGACTAGTATGATATAAAACTGTCAGGATTTGCCTAGCCTCCTGACCTCATTCCCCAACAAGTTACATGAGGCAATATAGAGAGCAAGTAGAGTGTGGACTAGTTTAGAGAACTCTGGAATTAAAGGGTAAACTGTTGCCAGAGATGGACACAAAAATTTCTCCCATCTTTGAATGTGCATCACTTTGTGATAGGATGCTGTAGAGCCTTCCATCAGAAGGTAAAGTCTATTGCCCTGCCTGGGCTGGGCTGGTGACTTGCTTTGAGCAATAGAATGTAACAGAAGGGACACCATGTGACTTTCGGGCCGAGGTCTCAAGAGGCCTGATAGCTTCTGCCTTAACTCTCTGGAACTCGCAGCCCCCTATGATGAAGTTTGGTTGGGCTCAGGGACCAACAGAGTTGGGCTCATGGGCCAAATCCACCCCAACACCTGCTTCTGTAAATCAAGTTTTACTGGAAAACAGTCATGCTCATTTGTTAATGTAGTATCTATGACTGCCTTCACATTATAACAACAAAGTTGAATAGTTGTACCAGGGACTAAATGCCCCACAAAGCCAAAAATACTTACTACCTGAGCCTTTACACAAAAGTTAGCTGAATCTTGGTCTAGCTGCTGGTGGACGAGGCCAGATGGAATAGAGAGGTGGTGTCCCAGCGGAGGTCTCCCTAGAACAGGAGTGGGCAACCTTTTTGTGAGCACGTGCCAAAACCAGCAAAATTTCTGACTCAAAATTCTTCTGCGTGCCAACCCTAATTTTTTGAGAACATGTTACACCTACTTGATATCTCTTAAGGTGTACATATGTGAAGAACCTTGAAGAAATAATAAAATTTATTCAAGCAACAAAAACATAGTATATGATGAAGAAAAATACATTTATTTTTAATGTATACATGTACACTGATAGTCCGACAGAAAACTTTATGACTCCATTTGATATTATCAGTGGGACTTTTGCTGCTGCATCACTGATGACAGAGATTTTACATCAGGTTTATATTTCGTGATCTTCAGAGATATGCACGAGCTACTACTTTCAACCGTCAGGCTACTCCTATTATGAGACTTAACAAAATACATCACTGAGAACAAAGATTCACAAGTGTATGTGAATGAAACCAAAACACTGGTCGGATCTAGGAAGGCAGGGAGAGTTAAGGCAGAGGCATAGAAATTGCTCTTCCCCTCTTTCATCAATCCATGTCTATGGACTTTAAGATAACTTGTTATGTAAAATTATTTATTTATCTAAGATGCACCTACACTGAATTTATCTGCAAAATAAAGAAGTCGATATTAAGAAAAAAATTGTAAATGGAAGATTATAAGAGAGGGTTTCGTGTGCCAGCAAAAGTTACTGGCGTGCCATGTTTGGCACACGTGCCAGGGGTTGCCCACCCCTGCCCTAGAATAAGCAGCTCCCAGTTAAGCTACCACATGAGTGACCCCAGGTGAGCCCAGCAGAACAGTCCAGCTGAACTCAGCCCTAATTGCAGACCCATAACATGAATACATATAATGGTGGTTGTTTTAAGCTGCTAAGTTGTAGGGTAGTTTGTTCTGCAGCAAGAGGTAACTAAAAATGGCTCTGCCATTTGATGTATGTGGTAGACACTTTATTCCCAACTCATATTATTTGGGCTCACCACTCCATGCAGACTGGCTGGCTTCCCGCTACCAGGATCTGGATCTCTCTGCCCCGGGGGCTTTCTCCAAAGCCCTGGCAAGGGCTCTGTCCAAGCTGGGAAATTAACACTCCATCTGCACCCTACCCTTCATCAATGAGCAACAGAATTCGGTATAAAAACAGTCCAGCTCCCTCACGCTCTGGAAGGGATAATTCCGAGGCATACGTCATACACTATTTCCAGGTTTCCTCGCAGGGTAGCATTCTGTTCTCCCACTGGCTTGATATCACACTCTTTATTAGTAGCCAGCCCTTGTGTCCATTTTTCCCATGACTTTACTGGTATTTCCTGAACATCCCAAATAAGCCACTTTCACTCAAATCCTTGTCACACACTGTGTTTCAAGTCAGAATTCAAACCAAGAAGACACTGAGCATAACCTTAGACAAGTTTCTTCCTCTCTCTAAACCTTGGTTTTTACCTGTAAAATGGAAATAATAGGAATATTTCTATCCTGGGAGGTGGTTGTGGGTACTTAACTTGAGATAAAGTCTGAGAAACACCCAGCTCTGCTCTTAGTGGTGACAACACACTTTGGCTAACTCCACATCCTCTGTGCATTGGCTCTGGTGTTGGCCAAGCCA